AACTGAGAGAATGAAGTGTTTTAACCAACACTCTGTGTGCTTTTTAAAAGCATTCTTTGCTTCAGACATTACAAAGAATCATCTTTCTGTTTTAAACTAACACAGCACTCACGCTCTTGATCTCACTCCTTAACAAACATCCTCTAACTCGACACAGACAGCTCAAGGAGAAGAAATCCTCTGGGCTCTTTTATTTCTACATTGTGTAAATGGCAAGATATGGTTGAACAAGGGATAATAAAGCACTGTATTTCCTGAGTGAGTCTCGATGAAATTCACACCAAACATGTCAGCCGCTGTGCTGCCGGCCTGGGCAGGAGCAGGAGGTTGTGGGGTCCTCCGTGCTCTCTCCTTGGTCAGCATGTCCTCGGCCGTCTGGAACGCTGTGCACCATCCCCACTAAATTCAGAATGTGCAAGCACACTAAGGTGTTTGGGCCATTAGCTAAGGCATCCTCTCAATAAGACGAAGTGTCTTTCCAGCGCACGGCCTCTCTGTCACCACCTCACAAAACACACAACTAGATTTTCACAAGGGTGGAGAGTTTTGTAAAGAAGAGGTTGCGTTTAAAAACTGAAGCCACACGGCACTGACAATATTTACATGAGACTGGGGGACCATGGAAGAATAAGCGGCCCCGTAGATGGATAAGATACAGGAGGCTTACTGCAGATACACAGTGTCACAGTCAGGCGCAGGCTAGAGATGGTGGAGTCTCACTGCAGCGATCCCCACGCAGGAACAGCTGGCTGGCAGGAGAGAGCAGAGTCATCACAGTGTGGAAGACAGCACATTCCTGTTCCTCAGTGCATGGCATCAAAGCACGGAGTAGGGGAGGAGGAGAGGGGCTTCTGTTAGGAGGCCACAGTGCTCAGCCTGAGCATAGCAGGATGAACAGGGAAAGGCCTGGCCCCTTCCACACTAACAAAGAGAGCAGAAACAACCTAAGAACTGTGATGCTGTGGGGTGTGTGTTCACTTGGAAGTGGTGTATGTTTGTGCATACACAAGTATAAACGTCACCCGATCAGCACCTTCTCAGAGCAGCCCTCCGGAGGCCTGGGGATTGGCGGTGAGCACTCATCTCAGCTCTTTCCCCATCAGGTGGGAAAGTTCAGAGGCCAGAGTTCTGCCCAGGCCTCCAGAGTCTGCCCAGCAGGAAGAAGGCCAGGCTGCCCACAGTGACGGAGCAGTTAGTGTCTTGATCCATGTGTGCTGCGATGATGTATTACCATAGCGTGGTGACTTGTGAAGAGCAGAAATTTCCTTTTCACAGTTCTGAAGGCTGAGAAGCCCAAGACCAGAGGGCCAGCCAACCTGGTGTGTGGGGTTGCTGCTCCTCTCTCAAGTCTGCACCTGCTGCTGTAGCCTAGGTCAGACTCCTCCCCTTAGCCTTTATAAGGATGGAATCCGTTTACCAGAGCAGATGCTGAAAGGCCTAATCACCTCCTCAAGGGCTCACCTCTTAACACCACCACAATGGCAGCTAAGTTTCACCATGATGGTGGAGGACATGGACCACAGCACCTGGTAATGCGCCTTCTGCTGGCTGCACCCTTCTTGCTTTCAGCCGAACTCTATCTTCTCTCTGCCCCTCTATAAAATACTCACATGCAGATCAGGATCTGGGTCTAGAGGAATCCAGCTTACACATATTAACGCATTTAATGTATTTATAGTCATATATACGTGTACACATGTTTTATGTATCTATATTTAAATGTTTATATATCTATACATATATATTTATATTTGTATGAGGTATAACTAGAATATACGGTAAATGTTTCAATTTTTAAAAGTCATGTAAAACACACACTGCCATTAATCCCCTGTATTCCCCCTCACTTTGAACATCTTGCCACTTTCTGAAGCTGTTCTGCAAGTCTTCTTTGCTGATAGTTTTTAGTTGCTCTGTTTTGGGTGCTTCAATATCCTGAATCAATTCAAAACCCTTTCCCTTTCATGGTTATTTTGACTTTGGGAAAGAGCTAGGAGTCACACAGTACCAGATGTGATGAATCAAGTAGATGAGGACACACTCTCATGTTTTTGTGAGTGTTGGATGGCATTCAGTAATAACTTTCATCATGTTTATGACCACACCCCATAAAGACATTCATGAAAGAGTACTTCCAGAACTGCATCAGAAAGTAGCAAGAATGATGGGATAAGTGTATGAGCAGGATTGATGGCGATGTGTCTATTACTGTTTCTGTCATTTAAACATTCATTGTATATTTTGATCATCCCTAGTACATATGTACATATATGTGTACACATGCACTCACTGACGTATGTACACATAAGTACACATCCATAAATGCAACTGGCTTCCATATCTGTGGATTCCACGCCTATGGATTCAACCTCCCACAGACTGAAAATATTTGGGAAAAACTTGTATCTGTACTGAGAATACAGACTTTTTTCCAGTCATTGTTTCCTAAACAATAGAGTATACTAAGTACATATCATCTAAGTTGTTTTAGATATTACAAGCAATCTTGAGAAGATTTAAAGTCCATGAGAGGGAAGTGTGCAGGTTACACACAAATATGACAGAATTTTAGACAGGGACTCAATCATCTGCAGGTATTGGTGTCCGTGGTCCTGACACCAATTACTATTAGATGCTGAGGGACAAGTGTCCTGCTTCAAAGCATAAAAGTCCTTCACCTCTCTCTAACATAATAATGTTTTCTTCTCTTAAAGCACAGCAGGTTTCTGTACAGCATTCTTTTCTGTACGGAGATCCTGAACCTTATGCTCTGCCCTTTTCCAGCTCAGCCCTCTGGTTCAGCAGGATGGTGCCTCACCCCACACACACGTGACCCACCAGAATTCACAGTCTGCTGCTGGGCAACCTTGACCCGTTTTGTGCTACACAGCCTGGCCATACCTGGGAACCAGACACTTTCAGGCAGATGCTACTACAGCTGCCCCTGAAGACAGAGCCATTGCTGCTGAGATACTGCTATCAACAGACAGCAAAGTGAAAAAATATTCAAAACCAAGTTAATTCCATAGCAAACTCCAAAGAGAGTTTAGACCTCAAACCTCTGTATTCATAAAAAGAAAGGCCGCTCTGTGGCCCTCCTCAGCCCCAAGCCCCGCACCCGGCCCTGTTTCCCAGCAGGAACTCTGTCCTTGGGCCCCTCTGCTCTCCGAGTCCAGAGACCAACATCAGGAACACTAAGTGCTCAGTGTGGTAGCATGGAGCGTGGAAAGAACACCGGGATTATGGGAACACAGGAAATTGGATTCTCAGCCTAGAGGAGAGAGGTTAGAGACTGTGTATGCTGGAGAGAGCCCAGTAAGTAGGAAACCTTGGCCAAGGAACACCCTTGGGATTTTACTTTTTCAACAGAAAACAAAAACAGGACTTCCAGGGGCCTGAACCCTGCCCCAGGTGCATTTCTCTGGGAAGACATCAAGTTTAAAAGCAAGCGAAATCTGAACACCTCAGGGTGTGTTATATTGAGTCTGTGATGTCTGAACCCAAGACCCGAGCTCATTTCCACCTCCCCAGGACACCTCCGAAAGGCATCATAGTACAGCTGCAGGTTTCCCCTCCTCCTCGCCACCTCTACTGTTCATTCCCCAGGTGGGGATCAGCTGACTGCCCTTGGCACAGCTTCATCAGAACAACAATTTATCCAGGTGCACACTCAAGAGTTTCCTACCAAAACCACTTTGGTTTTCCTCAACCCACTCCCAACAGAATGAGGTTATTAAAATAATAATAATCATTATTATCATCAGAAAATGTTACAGCCACCTATATGGCAGAAATAGTGTTGAGAAATGGGCAATAATAGCAATCATATACATAAAAAGTAATATCAACCAATTTACCCATGACTGCAAGAAAACACAGAAGTTCAGCTGGAATATACAAAGTTATATACATTTTCATTAGTAAATTGCTTTTGTGTTTTAATATATTACATAAACTCTATATATGTTTTATACAGAGATATACAACACACCACCTTCTCTCCTTCCTTCTTTCCCTCCCATCCTCCATATACACACGGTCACCCTCCACCAAATGTCTTTTATCCTGGACTCTAGGATGGAGGGCCTGTGCTGGAAGAGGTGAGAAAGGCAGAGAAATGACAGATGCTGTGATTTACAGTGGCCCAGGCATGAGTCTGCTTTGGTGAAATTAAGGGTTAGAGTTTGCCATGTATTTCCTTTTTAATATTCTAAGATGCATACTGAGTCACCAATGACTTGGAAAATGTGTGTTCTTTATTAGGAAAAATAAAAAAATAGGAGACTGTACCAACTCTCTACTTTAAGTAACATGGGGCCACTGCATAAGACCAGACCCTCATAACTACCACCACCACCACTAATGCCCATGGTTGCTTTCTAAATTTAAACATATTAATGAGAAGAGCTCTTTAAAATTGTAATGCAGGCCGGGTTCTTCGTTTTCATAAGGTTTCTGAAGATGACCCTTAAGATATAAATTAAAAGTCACAATGCTTAGAAAGAAAAGTCTATGAGCCTGCCTGCCTAATCCCTCCTCTGCCCTGGAGCCAGTGTTTATAGGGTGTTTTCTTTTTTTTTGCCCTCACAGGATACCCTCCCCCACAGAATTCCCACCTGCTTCCCATTTGACTGCAGCAAACCCAAGGGCTGTCTGAGCAAGAAGCTCCTCTGTCCCAAGAAACAAGAATCCACAGAATTCCCCAAAAGTAGGCAGCGGAGGAGCATAGACCGCGCTCCTTCATGCTTTGGAGCAGTGGTGCTTGGTTGGAAGCCAGGTTGCTCTGCATGGAACCCAGGTGATGGCTGCTGACCCTGCTGGCTGTAGATAGAAGTAAGGGTAGAAGCCAGGCTGCTGTTACACATTCTGCAAAGCACATGTCAGCCCAATCATGAGGGTGACCCAGCCCAGTGTCCACGGTACCCAGCTGGGATAGGTGCTCGGGGACAAGTGAACAGCCATGAATCTGGGGACCATGGTGACATCCATGCAGGACTTACGAGGCAGGAACACTTGGTGCACTTGTTCCCTTCCGGCCGAAACTCCTCTCCCTCTCGGTACTGCACACCTTCAAACACGCAGCCTGGAAAGCAGAGTGGAGTTCAGAACCAGGCAGGAGCAGTGTCCTTGCAACACGGTCCTCACGGTCCTGCTCACCCACCCGCACCCCCATCCCAGCTACCCAGCAATATCCTCTTTGGTCAGCAGACAGCAAGCACCTACCCAGTAAAATAAAGGATGTGAAGAACAAAATGCTGGCATAGGACCAGAAACCCTAAAGATGCCAGAAAGTTCAGGGGAGCCTCAGTCAGCCTGTGGGTACAGTACAGATGCATAGCAGGGAGTCCCACCCTGTGCCCCTGGAGTGATGTCATGATCATGCTGGCCACTGCTGGGACCCAAACCCCAGAGGGACAAGGAGAGGCTAAGGGAGGCCAAGGAGGGATCAACTATGGGATCAAGAGCAGATGCAGCCAGGGGCTGCCAGTTTAGGATGAGGCCAAGGTCTCCCCTGACTGTCCCCATCGAGGCTCTGTGGAGGGTCTCCCGTCACAAAAGGTGATGAACTCTGCAGGCAGTTCTTTCTGAACCTTCCCACTTGCATCCCAAATGCTGTCCTTAGAATGAAGCAAAGGGGCAAAGCTGAATCCTGACCTCCTAACCTAGGGCATGGAGCATCCCAGGTGTCATGGGCTGGTATGTGACCCTGACTCACCAGCTTTTAAAGATGGGACTGAGCTAGGTACATCCTGTGGTATGCAGTGGGGTGAGAGGAGCATGGGGTCCTCTGGTCCTCGCTCACTTGGGGACCTGGGCAGGCACTGAGTGACCAACACCTCATCCCTCTCTGGACCGTGGTAAGGACTCAGGACCATAACATGTGTGATCATGGAGCTGGGTCCTTTCCTTCCTGGGAACTCAACCAAAACATGGAGTAAAAGAAAACTGCTCATATAGGAGCACTCAGATAAATCACGTGGCTGTTTTCTACCATGTTTCACAAGCAACAGGGACACAGGGCTCCCCTGAGTGGGAGGATGTTACCTACATGGAGCGGTGCTGTGTTTTAAGGGCTCCTTGGTGCTGTTCCTGCTCCTTGAGGGTCCCCTGTCTGGGAACGGAGGGCTCTGAGTGGATTCTGTAGCAATAAGGAAACTGTCTGTGCAACACACCTGAATCTATAGTTCAGAGCTATGATAATCTTAAATCTGTATGACAGAGTTTTCTCTGTTATCAGTCTCCAGTTTGGCCACATATCAAAATCACCAGGGAGGCTGGGTTCCCCCACCCAGATTCTAATGGACTTGGCATGAGCTGTAGCCTGGGTACAAGATGCAGCACTTAGGGTCCCAGGAAATTCCAGGGTGCAGCCCAAGAGAGCAACTCATCCACTTGGTAAAGGTCCCACTGACATTCAAGAATGTTGTGACCTGATGCAAAACATTAGATGCATCAGAAGGGAAAGGCACTGGGCAAACTGTGACAGACACAAAATAACTGGATTACGGAAAGAATTAGTGTAGTTTTAATCAGTTTTTGGCTTTCATATGAGCTCATCAGTAACACAAACTTCACAGAAATCCCAGTGTGAAAGGAAGCTGGATAAGATTGCAGGACACAAGGAGGTTAGAAGAGGAAAGAACTGCCCATTCTTTTCATTCAAGGACAAGAGAAGACTGAACTCTGAAAATGACTCAGGTCTACCACAAGGAGGGGCCCGTATCTGTAGCGAAGCCCCTAGGACCTTCACCACTTCAAAGGAGGCTCAAAGAACAGCAGGGCCTCAGGGTCACCCTGCAAAGGAGAGTAGTGGTTGTATTGTCACCAGTGAGGAACAGCGCTCAGAGAAAACCCCAAACACAGAACACTTGTCCTAGATGATCAGCAAGTGTTTAAGAGATCAGAAAAATGTCTCACCTCAAAACCCCAGGCTTATGGGAAAGGGCAAGAAGAGCTGCAGGAGGCCTCTGTAATCGCCTGAGGGAAAGTGGGAAGAAGGATTTGGCCACTAGAAAAGGAAGAGCTATTTGCTGTCAGCTAGGCCGGGTTTCTCTACAAAAGACAGTGGGCTCAACTTGTGGAACCACACAGAAAAGAACACCAGCAAAACCCTAAGCTAAATTCACGTGGGACACAGTTCTCAGTTGTCAGAAAACATCTGGTTGCCTCATCACCATGGCAAGCTCCAGCCAAGGCACTGCAGTACGAAGCGGTAAAAAGACATTTCTGGAAGCAAAAGGGAAGGCACGGTGGACCTGAAAGTGGAAAGAACGCCTCTAGGCCCAGAGAAGCCAACAGCCAAGACCTACATCACACTGCCTTCATGCCAGCATGCCCTTGCTGTGCCCTCAGGAAGAGAGAGCAAAGGTTCAGGCCAGGTCAGCGCCCTGCACAGGAGGAGGAGTGCGCCCTCTAACCCTGTTAGGTGCACAGAGGCCCAGTAAGGAAAATCCAACAGGCAAAGGAAAATGACACATCTCTGAGGGACACAGAGATTTCAAGTCTTGCCCTGCGCAAAGGGCCTCTTAGCCTCCCACTTCCTGAGGATGCTACCTGGACAGGTGGGGCAGCAGGCTCCCTGGTGCTCCATTGGGTTTCTACAGTGAATGACACAGCGCACCTGGGACTCTGTGACAACGCCTTCCTGCAAAAGAGAGCACACAGTCAGCCAAGATTCCTGTCAAGGAGCTAAACTTCAGGAAAGTAACCAAGCAGAAGAACCCAAAACCATAAAGTGCGCAGTGGGGTAGGCGTCAGGCCCAGGAGGACTCGGCACAAATAAGCTTATTCACCTCTACTGATGCTTTTGACCTCCGAGGTCAAGCCCCATCACCCAGCCTTGTTTTTCCTGGCCTTGCACTCTCTCTTTGGCCCTGCTTTCTTTCTTTTAAAAATAGCTTTAAGACTTTCTTGCCATCTGTTGGTAGCTGGCAGAGTCTAGCTGCTCATTCACAGTTGTCTTATGTTTTCAATGCTGGCTGTATTTTCTATCACTGTTCTTATACTTCAAGGCATTAGCTCTGGAGCACGGAGACCCGAGTAGCATCCAGAGGTCCCTGAG